ACCTTCCCATTCATATCTCCCCATTCGTAGCTCCCAAGAGGGCTGCTGGTAGCCAAGCGTGGTGGCTCACGCCTGTAATCCCATCACTTTGGGAGGCTGAAGTGTGGTGTCCAGGAGTTCCACAAAGACCACACTGCCAAACAAGCTGAATTCATAGCATAGTCCCTTTATTGAAGAGCCGGCCAGCCACTGCTTCAGAGTCCCAACATGGGGTTTCTGAGAGCAACCCTGAGTGCTTATGCCTTAAGGGGTCAGGTTTTTAAGGCCTGGTCTGCATCCTGGTCGGCACGCAGGCTGTCCCGGTGCATCCACGTAGGATAGCAAGCAAGCATTGTACAGAAGCGGAATTTTGCAGTTAGTAAGCTATATGTCATACATCTTTGTTTTAATATTTTCCCTCTATACATCTTAATTTCAGTACTTTTTCCATCTGGTATTGTCTAAAGGTCAGTCCGGGGATAGTTGGTTCATTTCCCAGGGAGTTAGCCAAGCAAGAAACTGGGAGTGAACTAGAAGCAAGAAATCAATTAGTACTTTCTCATTTATCCTGGGGGTGAACTAAACTTATTTCCTTTCTTTTTCTTAAAGCTTGCAGTCCGGAAATTTGTCAGGAGTTACCTGGTATTTTTCCATTATAGCCTAGGCCTAAGAGAAGTAGGAGGATAGCTTGAGGCCAGGAGTTCGAGACCAGCCTTAGCAACATATGCAAGACCCGACCTCTACAAAACATTTAAAAACATAGTCAATGTGATGGTGCAGGCCTGTAGTCCCAGCTACTCTGCAGGCTGAGATGGGAGGATCACTTGAGCCCAGGAGATTGGGGCTACAGAGTGAGCTATGAGACTGCCATTGTACTCCAGCTTGGGTGACAAAGCAAGATTTTGTCTCAAAAACAAAACAAAACAAAAACAGAAAACAAAAAACAGAAAAAGATGTTACTGGTGGCCTTTGGCCCCCAGGTGTTCTCCCTACCTCCAGCCTGAGCACAGTAAAGTCGAAGGAGGGCTGCCTGGTCCTTGCTGCAGCCCAGACACTTCCAAGCTCTGTGGCCTTGCACCCTTTGTCCCTCTCTGAGCCTTAGTTCCCCCCTGTAAAACGGAGGCATTTATGCAGATCACACACAGAATGATGATGAAAAGGGATAATGTGTACAAGGACTTCGCTGCTGGAGGAGTCAGTGCTCCGAGAACTCTGATGCTCTTGGGTGGACTATTTCTTCAGAGACGAAGAGTTTGGGGATCAGGAACATGGGCCCTGCTATTGACCTGCTATGTGACTCTAAGACAGTGGCTTCCCCTCTCTGAGCTTCAGAGCCCCACTGGACAGACTGTTTTGACCTGTGTTCAGCTCACTGAGGAATCCCTGGCCATGGCTGAGGGTGGCCCCAGTGCCCTAGCTGACTGGGGCAGCTGGAAAAGGCACAACAAAACCCAGACCCCAGCTGGTCCTGAAACGAGCCCCCTAAGACCCACATAAGTTTGTGGAGAGCTAGCCAACCTGCAACTTTGTCCAGGCTTTGCACACACTGCTCCTCCTGTCTGAATGTTGTTCTCTTCTAAGACAACTCAGATGTCCTTCCATAGGACATGCTCATACACACACCCCTAATTCTTCCTCCCAAGTCATCAGTCTACAAAGCTGCCTTTAGCAGCCCTTAACCTGCATGCTTAATTTACGAAATCCTCATAGTGCTCAGGAATTAGGGATTATCAGCTCTTCCTGACACAGGAGGAGGGAGGCTCAGGGGTGTTAGGTCACCCACAGCTCTAGCCACCCTCTCCTGGGCCTCTCACAGGTTGGGGCAGTGACCTGGGGGTACCGGGAAGAACTTAAAAGCTGGTCCCTATTGCTGAGAATGCCTTCCTCACTGGGGTCAAGTTCTTTATGTGGGCACACTAGGTGCCACTATGTGGGCGAGTGACTCCCTTCTACGGGCCTCAGTTTCCCTTTCTCTAAAATGGGATAAAGAGGCCTGGGTCCAGGACTTACCCTCAGATCACTGATGGCTGGCAGGATCTGTCTCTGTTCCCAAGCTGGCCCCAGAGTGCACGTGTGCGCTGGCCTCAAAGACTGACTGTTCCCAGACAGTTCCAGGGCTGCTGCCCCCCCCCCCACACACACACCACACTCCCTCTCCCAGCCCGGCTCAATCGCGCTGTCGCTTTAAGGTCAGGCAGGGTGGGTGGGGCGACAGGGCACCTACAGCCTCCCTGAGCTCGGGCCTCCAGAGCCCACAGGAGATTATGACACTAACCCAGGAGAGGTGGCCCAGGCGGCCCCCACCGCCACCCCCGGAGCCCAGCCCTGAGCCCCGGGGACGGCCGGATTTGGCCCCACGGGAGTCCAGGTAGTCACCACAGAAGTCAAGGGCGAAGCCGGGGCTCCACACTCCCCAGGGCGCCTCACAGGAGCCTCAGAGCCCAAAAGGACAAGTCAGGCTCTGCGACCCTCCACTGGGGTGGGGACGGGCGGGAGCAGAGTTAGGGACAGACACGGCGGGCGGGCGGGCGGGAGCCCTGAACCTGCCCGGAGCCCGACCTCACGGTGCTCTTGCGGGCTCGGGGAGCTGGGCTGGGGACACTCCTGAAGACCCGCAGGACCAGCAGGTTCGCTCAGCCCCCTCGTCTCGCGGCCAGCAGGCCTTTACCCCGCGCCTGACTGCCGGCCCGGGCCCACGGAGGCTGAGGGAGGTGGGTGGAGACGTCCTCCCTCCCTACTCCTTTGGGAGCGGCTGGGCTGCTTCTAACGCCAACCTCACCTGATCCCCCTCCCTTAACCTTGGCCGCGTGGCCTGGTGGGCACTGTGGACACCCAGGCTCCACCTGTGTTCCGTTTTGCTGGGTTTCCTTGGCTATGGCACCCCGTGCCTCAGTTTCCCCAGCAGTTAGATGGGGATGGTTTGGGCCACTTGTTGTTAAGGCACATTCTTCTTTACAGAAAGTAGCACCTAAAATGCCCTTACTGGTCTCACGGAGTAGGGTGGTGGCCCAGTGCTCCCGTCCAGGCCCTGCTCTCTCCTCCCCATGATCCTGGTGGAAGCAGCGACTTCCTGGCGGCAGACCTTTCCTGAAGATGCTGCTCCCTGGCCAGAGGCAGAAGACAGATCCAGGCTGGCCCTGCTACTGTGGGTGGGTAAGGCAGGCTGGAGGGTGGGGACAGGTACTAAGTGACACCAGGGACATAAAATTCATAATAATAAATGGCTTTCATATATTTTAATTCTCATGAGCAATGTAGTGTGATCGTGCCAGTTTTACAGAGGAGGGCAATACGGCTTGGAGAGGCCAGATCACTTGCCCATGTCAGAGCAGGTCCATCCTCCGTCCAACCTTGTGTCACTGTAATTCACTTACAGCTCTCCTTCTGTCTCTTCTCCATACCCCCCTTCCCCCTGGGAGGCAGGGGTTTGAGCTCAGAGATGTTGAGCAGTCTGCCCAAGGTCACAGAGCTAACAGAAGGGAGTGGTAGGCAGTCAGAGGATCTGCTCCAGGGAGCAGCAGACACACTTCTGGGATGAGTGAAATGAGGGTCCTGGGTTCCCCAGGTGCAGGGAGAATAGGGCCAAGAGAGGCTCTCAGGTGATAGGAATTTAGGTGAGGGTGGGGAGGGGCCTGGGGGAGGCAGGGCCAGCCTGGCAGGCCCCTACTGAGGAAGGGCAGGCCCTTTCTAGAGACTGGGGGAGGGGGGTGTCTCCTGCCTGCCCTGGGGCTGGAGCTATACCTTCCCCGGCAGGAGCCTTCCTTCTCCCCCTATCAGGGTACAGAGTCTGGAGGTGCACACATATGAGGGGCCAGCAAACTGCCTAAAGGCCACCTCTCTGAAATGAGTCAGGGGAGTCTCGGGACAGGCCACCTGCTGACTATAGAGCCCTGGTCTACAATAATAAACAAAATAACCGCTGCCCTACAGAACAGGCTGTCCTTCATCCTCTTCCATCCCCAAGTGCTCCAGAGAGCAGCTTAGCATGTGCCCCACCTGCCAAGGGGCGTCTACGTGCAGGGAGGGACGCTCACACAGGAGGAGGTGACCACAACACTGAGAACATGCAAAGGGCAATGGAGGGGGGTCCAGGAGGAGTTTGGCCAGGAAGTGGAGCAGTACTTTCTAGAGAGCAAGAGCTGCCTCCCTCTGCCCAAAACCCCAAGACACAAAGACAGCGCACGTGTTCACAGCGTGGCCTCAGCTTTTATACTTGTGCATCAAAAGAACCATATCCCTAGCTGTGCACACAGAGAGATCTGACTCAGACTGGACTCCAGCCCCAACCTTGGACAAGCCATCACCCTAGGGGCCTGTGTGTCCTTGGGACCTAGTACTGTTGTGAGGATTAAGCCAAGGGACGCCTGTAGAGTGCTTGGCATGGTCCCAGCCAGGTAAACACCCAACACACAGCTGCCACCACCATCATCATGTTTGCAGGCCCAGGGGGAAATGGACAGGAAACACCTATATGGGGTCATGTTCATCTCGGGGGTGGGGGGAAGCCTCTGGATAATTTGTATTTTGCATTTTTATTCTCTTCTGTGGCTTTCTCCTCCCCCAACCCCCCTACAACCAGCAATTACTGTCTTGATAGAAATCGAAAAGCATCACAAATTATCTCACACAGGTGATTCAGGTGTGAGTTCCTCGGTGCTGTGGACTCTGCTGTGCCTGGTTTTGGGGATGTGAGTGAATGAACGAGGCAGTGCAGAACTAGCAAGCCTGGTGGTCCTGGTGGCCTTCTAGATCCAACACGTGTTCACCCTCCTTCCTGAGGCCTGGAAAGAGGCCCAGAGTGAAGGCAGCCACACCTACTGAGCGCCTACTGCGTCCCAGGCATGGTATCTGTGACCTACAGAATAGCCCTGCAAAGACAGGGCATTAGCTCTGTTTCACAGATGAGGAAACTGAAGCACAGAGGGGTCAAATGCCCTCTCCAAGCTTGCATGGTGACCTCACAGGAGGACAAACACCCGGTCTCCAGTACCTTTCACGTGGCCCATTTTCTCTTCATTCTTTTCCACGTCCAGATGTGTGATGGGGCTACGTGGCCTCCATCATCTGCTGCTGCCTGACAGTCAGCAGCATAGTGGTTCTGGTGGCTGGGACACTCTGCTTCACTTGGTGGAGTGAAGGGATTGCAGGTGCCCAGACTAGCCAGCTGGCCCCACCCACTGAGATCCCAGTCCTGAGGCCCCCAGCCCCCTGCTCAGGTCGCTCAGCCTCTTCTGCTGTGGCCTGGGGGGCTTGCTGCTGCGCTTAGGCCTGCTATGGTCCATCACACCCAGCACCCAGGGGCTGCCCCAATGGGACCCATACCATTTCTCCAGAGACCTGTACTATCTCACCGTGGAGTCCTTGTAGAAGGAGAGCTGCAGGTCAGTGGGGCCGGGTGGGGCAATGTGTGGGGACCACAGGTGGGGGCCCAGTCACACCATCCAGTGTTTTCTTAGCCAACTCTCCTGGGATTCCTTCTCTGACTACACCTTGCCCTGTCCCCTGGGGCATGGAAGCCGACTAGTGCAGTCCTAAATGAGTTTAAAGCTTCATGATAGAGATAGATAATGACAAATCAGAGTAGTTAGAGCTATGAGAGAGAGGCAGACATAGTCTGTGGAGACATGGAGAAATCCAGGAAGGCTTCCTGCAGGAGGAGGCAGCTTAGGTCAGCATAGTATGGAGCATAATGGCAGAGGGGTTAAGAGCCCAGGCACAGGAGTTACACCCACTGGGCTTCTATCCTGGTTCTATCACAAATTGGCAGGGAGATTTCAAGTAGGTCATGCAACCCTACTAAGACTTAGCTTCTTCACCTGAAATAATACGGAATAGTAGGAACGGCAATAAGAGCAAGCACATATTTAGTATTTGTCATTGCCAGGCACTGGTCTGAGTGCTTTATATATTGACTCCTTTAATCCTTCCAGCAGCCCTTCCAGGTAGGTACTGTTGTTCCATTTACAGAGGAGGAAGTGGAGCCCTGGAGATGTTAAGTAATTTGACATCAGCTAGTTGGTGTCAGGCTGGGACTTGAACCCAGAGTGCTAGAGTCCATGCTCTCAATCATTTTCTTTCTCAGAGGACACTAGCCTAGTGCCTGGAACATAGTAGCTGCACAGTAAATGTCAACTTTCCCTAAGTGGACATGGAGAGAGCATTTTAGGCACTGGAAGAGCTCTTGTGCAAAGGCATGGAGAGGGTTAAGGGCAAAGGGGTGCATTGAGACATCATTTCTCAGCTGGGTGCAGTGACTCATACCTGATACCAGCACTTTGCTTGAGGCAAGGAGTTAGAGAGCAGCCTAGGCAACATTGCCAGACTTGTCTCTATAAAAAATTTTAAAATGAGGCCCAGCGCCTAATTTAGCACAGTGGTTATGGAGCCAGCCACATGCCCCAAGGCTGGTGGGTTCAAATCCAGCCTGGGCCTGCTAAACAATGACAACTGCAATAAAAAATAGCCGGACACTGTGGTGGGTGCCTGTAGTCCCAGCTACTTGAGAGGCTGAGGCAAGAGAATCGCTTAAGCCAAGAGTTTGAGGTTGCTGTGGGCTGTGACGCCACGGCATTCTACCAAGGGTGACATAATAAGACTTTGTCTCAAAAAAGAAAAAATAAATTTTAAAATTAGCTGGGCATGGTGGTACGGCCTATAGTCTCAGCTACTCAGGAGGCTGAAGCAAGGGGATCACTCAGCCCAGGAGGTGGAAGTTGGAGTGAGCTATGATCATATCACTGCACTCCAGCCTGAGTGGCAGTGAGACCCTGCCTTAAAAAAATAAAAAGAAGAAGCATTTCTCAACCTTTTAAATTATTGGTGCCCCCCAATACACACTGTATCTGTAACATAACAGATACAGTGTGTATCTGTTATGTTTTGTATGTATATGTGCTTATATATAAAAAAGGGTCAACTCTCCTCAAGAACCAGTTTTTATTTTACCCTGGAGAATGTCATGCACACAACGCTATACGCATTATGCACGCCCTTATTCTGTACTTATTTACGGAGCAAAGGATGGAGTAGCCTACCTGCCACGGGCCTGCGTTTGTCATCTCCTATTATTCTATTGCTGCCAAGATAAGAGTTACTGTTGTGTCTGCAAAAACGGAAGGTGAGGTGTGCACAGCTAGAAAGGGACAAGAGTTGCATTCTTCCTCCCATGCCACGCTCTAAGCACCTATGAGGTATTTCAGGTCCCTGAGCTGGCCTGGGACCTGGATGTGCTTCTTCCTGCGCTTAGAGGGAAAATGCATCCCCAGTTAAAGAATGCAGGAGTATTCACACTGTGAGGCTAGTGTTTGACAGGGGGACTGAGTCCAGTTGTCAGACCTCAGTTTGCAGCAACTGTTAAAGGGAAGGGCAGGGCCTCGGGGACTATCCAGCCAAACCTTCACTTTTCAGATGAGAAACTTGGATCTCAGAGAGACCAAGCGACCTGCCTGGTCACGCAGTGAGTTAGTGGTCAGCTGGAATCAGGCCAGGTCTCAGGATGCTCTCGGCCAGTCTATTCCTTCCCACCCAGCCCAGCACCAGTGCAGGGGGCAGGAGTGGGTGTTATCTGTATACACAGCCATGTTGATGCAACAGGATCCAGGCTGCAGCTGTGCCTGCCAGCTGGGGCCCCTCGGCCTTCCTTCCTACATCAGGAGGAAGCCCACCCAGGAGGCAGAGGGTTCTCCTAGCCCATCAGGCTCTGAGACCCAAGTCTTAGATTTAGAAACTGGGTATGGAAGAGGGTGCTTCTGCTGGCGGTGCTCCTTGCTGTCCCCGAGGCTCACCCAGCCTAGCTCTGCTGCCTGTGGGCCCACATCTGGCCCCCTGGGGAGTCTGCTCTGCTATTCCTGCTCCCAGGTGCCGGACTCTCTGCTGTGGGGGACATCAGTCAGACACAAAGGCTGATGGCCAGGGCACATCCCTTTCCCTCTTGGGCCCCAGTTC